ATCAATTTTTTTTAAAATTCAATTTTTTAATAACCGAATTCTCGCTCTATACCCTTTTCCCAATATTTATCCATTCTCTTTCTATCCACATTTTGGGTAGTTTAAACTCTTCCCTATCTTTATCCATTCCATCTATACATTACATTAAACTCCTACCAATGTTTATCGATTCTCTCTAATCTAGTTATAAATTGACTTTCCCATCTTTATCCATTATATCTATACATTACATTAAATTCTTAACAACATTTATCGATTCTATCTAATCAAGACATAAATTGAAAGATGGCCACAGTAGATTAGTGGAGAGAATGGATAAACATATGGTAGATTAAAGAGAATGCATAAACATAGGGAAGTGTTTAAACCCAGGTATCGTCCCTATATTTATCCATTCTCTCTAAGTTATAAACTCTTCCTTATGTTTATCCATTCTCTCTATTCCCCGTTACAAATCAATTGAAAGACGGTCACGGTAGATTAGTTATGATAGAGATAATGGATAAACATAAGGAAGGGTTGATAGGGAATAGTTTAAACCTGGCCTATGTAACGCATAACGAGATGTACGAAATAATTTAAAGGGAAAAGACGGATAAATAAAATTTCGGTTTAAGGTATAAATAGACATACGAAAGAATTTAAAAGGAAAAGATTGAGAAATAAAATTTCGGTTATTGAATTGAAAATTAAAATTTCAACTGAAAAATGGTAGAATTATCATTTCGGTTTGAGGTATAAAGAGACGTACAGAAGAATTTAAAGGGAAAAAACGGATAAATAAAATTTCGGTTATTGAATGACAGAAAATTAAAATTTCAACTAAAAAATGGTATAATTATATTTTTTTAAATTGTTCATTATGACATAAAAAAAACGGACAGATAGGTAATAATAGAAACTATTTGGTAGTTTTGTAATAACGAAAACTATAACGAATATGTGCATAATTTTTCCTTCCATTTAGCATAACTTTCTCCCTCTCATGGTTTTTCTCTCTTTATTTTTTTTACATTTTGTAGTAATTGTAATTAATGTTTTTCAATTTGACAACTCTAACCAACATAAATAAATAAACCTATTATTTTTTTCTCCCTACCACGTTATCTCTTTTTTTATGTGCTACTTTTATTTTATTTTATCTCTAATTTACACTACTTGCAATTAATTACAATTAATACCTCTATGTGATCGCTCCCATCTTATATATCTCCCATAGTATCGCCCCTATTTCATTCATCTTTTTCTCCTTTAATTTGTCTCTCAATCTCTCCATTCTAAAATATATTTTTAGGACAAAACTCTTCCATCATTTCTCACTATAAACCCTCACACCCTAGCCTAAAAGCCTATCACGTCCCACCTTATCGTATGTGAAAACAATGTGTTTATCTGTCTTTCAAATTTATTTATTTATTTACCTCTCACAATAATGTTTTAGCTCGAAATATTTTTCCAATAGAAAAGTAGAAGGTACGATGTCTGTCTCTATCTCTATGTAGTATATTTTCAAATTGTAATATGATTTTTTTACCTATAGAAAATAAGTGGTTTGATATCACTCTTACACGTCGTGAAACTCAATTAGATTGAAAAAACTAAGTACTTATATTCTTGAGTAGTTATACTTTTTTATTATAAACTTCAACGTGGTAATAAAATAATATTTATTATTACTTATTATTTATATTATTATTATTATTTTATTTTGTTTTGAGTGCCTAGAGCTTATACATTTATGTTATGGGCAAGCTTTCTATGCTTCGTCTACATCATAGAACTTATATACTTCCACTTATCCAACCATCTACCCTGAATGGAGGGCTAAGATTACCCCAATCACAATGTCACGTCTCTACACTATTTTTTTTTAGTTTTATAAACTATTTTGACACCAAATTTTGGATGTCCAATCCTCTATTAAACTCGCACTAGTGAAAGATGTATAAATGTTTTTTTCAAATATAATAAGATGACCAAATACCCCTACAAAATTCAAGGGGTATTTTGGTCATTATATTTTATCAATTTTTTTTAATTATTTTTTATAGGTGGACACCATTGAGAAGATGACACATACCAAATTTCATATTAATACAATTTGTATAAATAAAATATCTTAAGATGTCGGATTTAAGAGTGACTCTCTTGATCAAAATTGGACAGCTGGATGCTAGGGGGAGGATAGTTCTTTTATGCTGTAGGGGAAGTATAGAAACCTTTCTCTTATGTTATTGTATCTTCTCACTTTCTCTTACTATTTTTCAGTTATATTATGCCTCTATTAAGAAGCAATATTTTAATATTTATTTTATAAGTTGTTTTTATCATATAAGGTAAAGTCCATGAATCTTAAATGTTAATGAAAAAATGATTTTTTCTTTCCTTCTTGATTATTATGTTAGATTATATCAAATTTGCTTCTATATCAATTTCACCCTTTATAATTTTAACTACACTTTATTATATTTTAGTTTTTTATGAATATTCTAATATTACATTAGTTTTTTGACGATAATAATAGCTTTATCTGGCTATTTTCTTAGCGTATTATCGCCTATTTTGAACTCTTTATTATGAAACAAAGTTAAAGGGCAAATTTGAGATAAAAACAAAGTCGATTTATCATTTAATATGAGAATAAAAAAGAAAAATAATCCTTTCTTTAGTACTCACGATCAATGGGTCTTTCCTTATAAGATAAAAATAAAATAATAATAATATTATTAATTTAATATTTTATTTTAATGTCAATATTAATATTTATATTAATAATATAAACAAAATAAAATAGTAATTTTGTTTATATCTCAAATTTGACCTTTGCATATTTTAACTATAATTTTTATATTTTAAATTTACTTATGACTATTTTAACATTATATTAGTGTTTTTAATGACAATATTATATTTTTTTAATGTGATCCAACATATAAAAAATTTACTTTTTTGTTTTTTCAGATACTTTAATATATTTTATTTTCTAATCATGAATTTTGAATTGTTAAAAATTATTTATAAGTGATATGTGATCCCATCTCCTCTAATTTTTTCTTACTATTTTTAATTTGCATTATGTCCCTCTTGATTTTTTTTGTTTAAAATAATATTGAAAATCTTTTGGTTGAATTTAGTATATTTTTTTTATAACAAATAGAATATCTAAATTATTTATTCCTTTGATGCTCTTTAAATAGTTTTTATACTTCTTAAGTTAATGCAATAGAAAAGACACGACCTATTGAAAATCCACATCCCTCATTAATAAGCATGCATTTTTTATTAATCATAATTTATCTCTCTCACATTCAAGTCATTATTTTCCATGCGCAACAAAAAGCCCTCGACCCAATAAAAAACATATATATATTTATTTATGATAATTTATCCGTCTTAAGTAACTTTTTCCCCTGTCTATTCTTAATAGAAAACATGTGAGTCAAGGGAAAAAAATTGTGTTATTCTCACCTCTTACCCCTAAGTATCTCGCTCACTCACTTTTCTTTATTTGTCACAGTTCATTTTTTCTGAAATCTCTCTCCCCTTTCTTGTTCTTGAAATGAGGTATTGATCAATATATATATAAATTATTGTCATTCTTTTGTTTATGATAAGGTTAATGCTTTTTGAGTATGATTTAATGGATTGATATGTTAGATATAAATATTAATAGGACCTAATGTCTTAAATTAATATATTAGATATTAGCACTAGGAAGACTATGGATAAATTTACCTATTAGTTTTATTTATATAATTTAAATTGTTCATTTAAATCATATTTATTATTTTAATTCTATGTCAAATGGACATGCGTTAATTAGTATCACATGTATTATTAATTAATAAAACATTCAATTGTGACGATAAATGCATTAAATTATCTCTCTTTAAGACCATGTTTTATTGATTTTTTTAAAAAAATAAATATATTTCAGTAATAAAATATTAAATATCACGTGCAATGCACTTGCATATTACTAGTATATAGTAACAAGAAAATATTTCTTATGCAAATGCTTGTAAAGGAAACGTAAGTAACGAGACTATTATATTTGGTATAAGGTGTTCACAATTAATCTTGACTATTGGATGTGAAATTTGAGTAGTTATATTTATGCCGTAGTCCAAACTTAAAGTTCAATTTATTTCTTTGACATTCTCAAGCTATCAGATTTGGACCCGGTTTTTATGTGGCCAAGCCCACATATGTAGAAATGTAGGCCCCTTAATAAATATATTTTGGAGATGGATTTTAGGACTTAATTTTTAAAGACATGTAATCTTTAACATCGAGATCCTGAATATGAATAAATAAATAAATTTAAAACACTAGAAATAACAAATTTAGTAAGAAAATATTTGGACCGTTAGTTTCCATTGTTTTTAGATGGAACACCTACTTATGTCCAATCTTTAAGAAGGATGCGTTACACCATATGTAGAGGTTCGCTGCATTAAACAATTTTCCATCATATTTTACATCGAATGGTTATAAGTAATGGTGCGGTTTGTATATAGCCGAGGAGGCTTTGAACAATCAAAGTAAAACACACCTTCAAATAGTATCGAGAAATGTGATTTCAATACCGGAAATCTTTGTGATAGATTTAAAATATATTTTCATCTTTAAGTATAAAATTTAAAGCTTAAAAAATAGAGTAGATCGAGCAGATTTATGAAAATTTTGAAAATCGACGGTAAAAAAATATGTTACAAGATGCACTATTTCTAAAACTTAAAATTCAATTTTTTTTCCTCAAATCCATGCATCTTGATGTCAAGATGATCAATTTGAAGATATTTGAGCATCAAAACAGATGCTCAATTTGAGAATATTTGAGCATCAAACGAAATTTTTGAGGCAACCTTTTGTGACGATATTTTTGAGGCGTGCGTTAATTTGCCTGTTTAGAGCCCTAGGTCTGTATAAACTTCTCCCGGCCTCTCGTTGAGAAAGGTAAATGGTTTCACTATATACAATCCCGCTTAAAAAACCCCACCGCCAAAATGGGCATCTATTCGTCATTTAGGAAGACGTCCGGGGTACGTTTCCTTTTATACCCGGTTCTATAAAGTAATGACTCGGTCATTATTTCAAGTAGCGGAGTGGAGTTGTATTCGCTGTTAAAAACGCTCCTGCGTTATTTTTTAGGGTTCGGGTTCTGGTTCTGCGATTTTCTAGGGTTTTGGTGTAGCGCCGTCACAGTCTCTGCAAGATGAGGTCTACTCTCTCTCTTGTTTTTCTTCGTCTTGCTACTACATTCTCTATAAAAATTTGATACTTGTAAGCCATGTCCACCACTTATCATTTTTTTCTTGTATCAATTCCCAAAGTTCTACGAATAGGATCTTATTAGCTTTTTTCATAGATGTTCATAATTTTAGACTTTACATTAAAGCTAAGCATCAATTCATTCAGCATAGCTGGTTTTTCAAGCTATAAATCAGGGTTCCTCGTGTGCTTGAATGTGTTTAGAAGAGATGGACATAAGGCCTGTGTTAATAATCACTGGAATACAGTTACTGAAAGCGCAGTTACATTCTTTTAGGGTTAATAGATGAGCAAAAATGTTACACGTATGGTAAAGATAAAGATGACAAAGGAATGTTGCGTCCATTTCCGTGAGTGTTGGGGCTTAAACCATATATTTATTGAGAGAAAACTGTCACCTGCTTTTCTTCTTCTTCTTCCCTCTCTCTCTCTGACTTATCTTTGGAATAATCTTTTGGTGATATTAGACTTATCTTTGGAATAATCTTTTGGTGATATTAGCGTTTTGGTGATATTAGACTTATCTTTGGAATAATCTTTTGGTGATATTAGACTTATCTTTGGCACCTTCCTATTAGAAGGTGTTACATGCGAGTTTGTGTTTATTTTAGCGCAGTAATTGGATGCACTTGTACATGTGTATTAGTGTGTTTCTGTGGACATATTAGGTCCTTAGTGCCATTGCACAGTCTACATGATATACTTTTATTATTGTTATTATTATTTTTTTCACTTATCAGATTTCTCAACCATGTGTTCCATTGTCCTATTTTATATAATGCAATAGTGCTCATCTGTGATTTCTGATTTTAAAATTTATGTGACCCCCTCAACTATTATTGTCAGCATCTCTTATTTGAGGACAAGCCTCTTTAATTGTTGAGTGGTAGGGAATTAGCAATCTCTGTTTTTATATTTCGGGACTAAGCAGTGAACAAGTGGTTGTAATATCTGATGACCATTGCTATTTCATTCGCCCCTTTTTGGTGCACTGTCCATAGCAAGAAATCTGCATATAGCATATAGTTCAATTGCTGCGTTACTTTATGCCTTAAACGTTATGGGCCTTAGTAATTGATTAAATCCTGCATTCATTTTAGAGTCATATTGATTGTGAATAGGATATTTGTTGGTGACTTGATGGTAAATCATGAATTGGTAGGAGATGCTTCTCTTGCATTGACAAGGCAATAACCGTGGTTAGCTAGTAACTTTACTGTTTCAGCTCACTTTATACTCTGTGTGTTGGTCCTCCATCATGTTCACATGTTTATATTTGGTATGCAATGCTTTATTTATTCAAACATTGTGATATATTCAAGAAATCATCTGTACTAGGATTTGGAGCATTTGAGTTGTATCTTATGCATAGTCAAGAGAATTATGTTACCGCTGGAGACATGATCAGAAGCTACATGGGAGTTACAAACTGAACTTTTTAATGCACATCATTTTGCTTAAAAGTTACATAAGCTCATGTTTAGTATCTGTGATGTTATGAATGGTAATGAAGGGAGAAGCAGATCCCTTCATAGCGGTACCATGATTTTTTTTTTTCAGTTGGTAGGTTATAGCCTCTAATCTAGGAGTAGTGATAAGATGTTTTAGAGTAACGTTAAAATGAGGCAGATCACTCCCCGTTTCAAAAAAAAAAGAGGTAGATTATTCCAATACCTCATGCTTTTTATATTATATCCTGAGTTTATATCCATGTAGTCGAGAGAGGTTCACCTGACTGATGTATAAACTGACTCTTGTCTATGTCCGGTACATGTTTGCCATGTTTTGAGGCTGGTGCTCAAAGCTTCTTACACCGAGACATGTCTGCACTCGGGGGAGTATTTGTCACTTCAAGGCCTCCCTTGAATTATTTGGTCATTGAAGAGAAGTATTCCTTGCACTAGTGTTACTTCTATCCCATTGTTTGAAGTTTATTGTGTTAACTTAAGACCAGACCCAGTCTACTCAGGTTATATCCATGTATCCCTCTACAATTTTTGCTAATTTCTGTAGAGCATCAGTCAAGTCTTATACATGAAGTCAACTTGGTGACGGACCAAGCTGTGTCCGAAGCTCGTGGTTTGAGACATATGAGCGATTGACCTTCTACTTAGTTGATATATAAAGATATAAGCTTCTCATAGAGGGCCAAGCTTTCTATGTATCTCTATATATGTGTCTTGAGATAGTGGCCTGGTAATCATGTTGTGCATGATTATGGCCTGAAAAACAGCCGGTTCAAGCATCACTATGGCCCGTGACATTTAATTTCGGCCACTGCCAGCTGTCCTTTCAAAATTGGAAAATTGGCTTCTCTTAACAAATATTAAAGATGTCGGCCTAGTGTCACATAGATAGGTTTCCCTCATAGAGGTGTCCACTCCCTTAACGGTTCAAATATACCAACCATGGACCATACCCTTACTATGTCAATACATTTGGATGGAAACCTTAAAGAAATTGAAGTATGAGGTTCCACCAGTTTGTTGCAACCAATGTTTAAAAAATTGCCGATCCGATTTGGGATTCATTGGTGACAATGCCAGTTCTAACTCGGAATCAACAATTCTATAAGATATGTATATAATGTTGTAATAGAGCAAAAAACATCCAATGCCTTCATTAGTACCATGTAGTCGTATTTTACGAGAGGCATGACATTCGAACCTCTCCAATGCCACTTTTTTTAAAGCTCTTTAATTTTGATTCAGGCATATATTAAATATAATATTTAGTTAAAGGACATTAACCTATGAGTAGCTTAGTTGGTTATCATGTCCAGTTATCTAAAGATTTAGGGTTTGAAGGCTAGCTAGTAGTGTTCTTTTAAATAACTCTTGTTTAGGAGCCTTTTTTGAAGGTTAGGAAATAAATAAAATAGTGGGGAGGTTTGACCTTGCGCTTCTAAAGTGCAAAGTCTAGCCAAATTACATTGAAGCACCTTTGACAAATTTTTGATAAATATAAATTATATACTTTATTATTTGTTTTTCAATTTATTTCCCAAATAGCTGATCCAAATTGCCGATTTGGCCAATCCAGATTGGGATTGGTGGGTTGGCATCCGTTTTTTAGAACATTGGGCGCAACTGTTAAATCATGCTTCCTTGGTCTCCTATCTCCAATTTTTATGATATGAGCTGCCTCTCTCCTCCGAGAGCAGAGTTATTGCAAGTCATGTTGGTTTTTTCTCTTGTCACCCACTAGAGTTGTGCCTGATGCCACTGAGGCTTGCTAGTTGTACCTTGAAGCGTCTTAGAAATTAATGTTGGGTATTTTTAGTAAACATGATTTCGGCATTATACTTCTCAAAACGTAGTATAATACTTTCTACCAACCGACATCCATTTCTCAAGCTGTCCTCAAGGTCTATTCAATGTTCATCCTCTTTCTTGAACTGGAGTGTTGTGGCCTATTGACAAGTGACTAGCCTTTTCAATGTTGAACAATGTTTTAGAAATTGTTTAACATTGTTAAACAATGTTTTTGGGATGGATTGCCCACTCATCGATTTCAATCTGGATTGGCCCAATGGGCGATCAAGATTATCTGGATCGACAATCCATAATATAAAAATAAAAATAAGAACAACTAATAGAGTATGTACTTTATATTTGTTAGAAAATGGCCACAAGTCCTTCAACATTATGTTGGCTAGACTTTGCACATTAGAAGCGCAAGGTTGGGAGGTTCTTATTCCCCCCACTATTTTATTTATTTATTTTAAGCTTCAAAGAAGGCTTCTAAAAAAGGAGCTTGTTTTAAAAGCATCGTTTAGGTTCACGCTCTGAATCTTTAATAGGAGAATTGGATATGATAACCAACTAAGCTACTAAAGCTTAGTTAGTTCTATGTTTAAATATTATATTTGTCATATGCCTAAATCAAGACCGAGGCATTTTAAAAAAGTGGCGCTGTGGAGGTTCAACATCAAACCTCTTGTAAAATGCGAGTACATAATAGCCAATTAAGAAATTTGATGCTATTTTATTCATTACAACCACCCCAGCCGCCCGGCTATTTGATGCTATTTTCTTTATTACAACATATTATATGCACGCATGATAAAATATTGATTTTGATAGAGAACCGGCTATTCCTGATCTGGATAGCCGATTTTTGTTCCAGATAGTCAATTCTTTAAACAAGGGGCTGTCACTTGGTTTGACGGTAAAAGGCTCGGTTAGCCAGCGCAAGAGCGCGGGTTCGAGTCCTATGAGCGGCCACTTTGTGCATAAGCCAAAGGTTAGGACCGTTTCCAGCCCACCCCACTTGGGACCCTGCTTAGGCAGGACCAGCATTGGGTTATGGCCCTTTTTCTATAGGCAATTTTTTAAACACCAATCTCAAATATTGAAAAGTCTCTTGGGTCCTCCATAAGAGGCGATTGCAATTATGAGTTAGACCCAAAATGCTGACTTGTTCACTCCAAACTTATGTAAAAGTAGTGCCATATAAGTTCTGAAAATCTCAAATGTGTGTAGTTCTTCACTCCAAACTTTGCTTGATGCATTTCTTTACCTTATTTGAAGTTCTGAAAATCAATCGGTGTCTTAGATTTTTACTGAAATAAATAATTTATTGGGAATCGAGATAAAAGCTATTAACTCATATCTTGTACTTTCTAATGGGAAGGTACAAACCGTACAACAGCTTGGATTTATGGATATATGCTGTCCATCAGATGTTTCCTAATTTTTGAAGTTGTTATTGGTAAATGATACATTGGTATGATTAATGAGGTACCTCATGTAATTTGCATCAGGTAAAAATTGCGGCATGTGCTCTGTTTGTATAGGATATGCAGGAATTTTCAAGTATGTTAGCTTACTGATATTCTTTAACTTTGGGAGGAATGGTGGCTACTCCAAAAAAAACTGCAGGTTCACCATGTTTTGTTGAAGTGTGTTTTGTTAATTCTGAGGATGTTAAAAGTTATATTCCTTGGATGTATTTAAAATGGTTAGGTTATGGTCTCACCATGCTTACTACGCACTTCTTGTGCCTCCAAAGTGCATTGAGATATTCTCATTGTGGTTAGGTTATGGTCTCACCATGCTTACTACACACTTCTTGTGCCTCCAAATTAATCTAGGACATTGAAGCATTGAGATATTCTCATTGTGGTAAAGAAAATACGGGCCATATGTTTAAAGAAAAATGATGATAGTTTGTTTCCTGCATTTGATGGCTTGCACATTGGAATTTTTGACGGCAGTTTTCAATGAGTTTGTATTTTCTGTTAGTTTTTTGGGATAAGTAACATCTTATTGAAAATAGTGCATCAAATGTTTTTTTAATGTTAACTGGAGACCTGCTGAGAATGGAACTCTGGATGTCAAGTGGCAACACCACCCTGAACAGCTCTGCCTAGTGCCCATTTTCAAAAAAACAGAAAGAAGAAAACTTGTAAGAATAATATTTATATGTTAGTTAAATACAGTCAAAGATTGGTTCTTTCGCTCTCCTAATGCACTCCTGTGATTTGTGTGCTCGATTTTGCTTATGTCTTGTGTACAGCCATGAGTGTATTTTTAATACCCGTTCTGGTAAAAAATTAAAACAAACTTTGTTTATTGTTTTGAAAAATCTGCAGTCGTCATCCTGAGGTTAAGTGGGCACAGAGGTTGGACAAAGTTTACATCACGGTGTCACTGCCTGATGCCAAAAATGTGAAGACAAATCTTGACCCTGAGGGGATTTTTACATTCTCTGCTAATGCTGGGACGGATGGTAACCCTTACGAACTCAAGCTTGATCTTTTTGGAAAAGTAAATGCAGAGGTAGGCTTCATTCATTAGTAGTTTGTCCACTCTTATTCTCCTTCCCTTTTTTTTTTTAATTCTTTTTGGGTAGAGAATGTGAGCGCATTTGCCTTAAGTTCTCTTTCTAGTGAAAATATGCTTTATTATTTAGGTTCACCATCTTGGTTTCATTATGTTTCAGGAGAGCAAGATAAATGTTGGTGTAAGGAACATATTCTGCATTGTGGAGAAAGCCGAGGAGGGCTGGTGGAAGAAGCTATTACGTGGTGATGAGAAGACACCACACTACCTCAAAGTTGATTGGGACAAATGGGTAGATGAAGATGAAGATGACACTGGTATGTTGATCTAAATTTGACTGAGCTACTTGTTTGTAGGAAATTCATAGTCAATTTTATCTCCAAGTTTTGGAGATATAGACTGATTTTTTATATGCTGTTTTGTTTCATCCAAGCTTTTAAGTTACTGATTTACATTTTTTGTTTTGTTATTAGCTGTTGCTCCTGATATGGACTTTGGAGGGATGGATTTCTCGGTATGAAATATTTGAGGAAGTCTTTTCTTTTATTGCCCTTATCTTCTTCATGTTGGAGTAAACATTTTCCCTTTCTCTCCTCCAGAAATTTGGTGGTATGGGAGGCATGGGTGGTATGGAAGGCTTAGGTGGTATGGGAGGCTTGGGTGGTATGGAAGGCTTAGGTGGTATGGGAGGCTTGGGTGGTATGGAAGGCTTAGGTGGAATGGGAGGCTTGGGTGAAATGGGAGGCTTGGGTGGTATGGGTGGAGGCATGGGTGACGAGCTTGATGATAGCGATGATGAAGGTACATCCACTTTTGTGAAACAATAGAATTACATTGTCTGTTTCATTGAATCACACTGAAATTTAATCTTGAAGCTCTCTTTCTCGTGTGCACATACCGAAGTATCTTGCAAAACACCCCCCACCCCTCTCTCCCTCCCCCACACTTTGGGTCACACGCATATCTTTCAACAACCCCCCCACCCCCCTCTATCACCCACACTCCACACTTTCTAAAAACACATTTGGGTCTCTCACCATCTCTCTCGCTCTTAATCCCACTAAATTTCTATGGTATTAATTCCCTGCACCTCGCTTTGTTGTAGAAGAGCAAGAACAAGGTGCTCAAAAGACTGAAACAGCTGCTCCAGGTGCGAAAGTGGTGACAGAAGGAGCTGCTCCGAGCACATGAAAGAGCAATTGGTAGGCCTGGATCCCCTTGTCAGTTGAGGTTTGCGTGTGGTTTGACGGCTGAATTTGGCCCTCTCAGAAGATAAGCCCCTACTTTTGTTTCACTTTCAGGTTAAACAGCTGAATGCATCTCTGACGTGGCCCTTTCTAACTCAATATCGTGTTCCCCTGCTTTACTCTTGTTTTTTTGCTTCCACTTTAACTAGCTATTGGTATTTGGTAATCTTCTTGCGTTTATTGAATTTTGGGCCTCTTTCAATGTAATCTTATGATATGCCTGTTGACTTGTGTGCTTATATAGTGATCATCCAAACATCCATTATGTGTGGGTTAATGGATGGTTTCATGATTCTTTAATTCTGTGAAATGTAGCCACAGATCATCTTCCTCATTCACAGTAGGGATCCGGCATTGGAGATCAGGTTTGTGTATGATACCTGCTCTGGAGTATTATGTTTTTTTATGGATGATCTACAATGCTTGATCCGTTGAGTACACTATGCACCATGGTGTATATGTTATGTGATACACCATAGAGACGGTGCAGGCACTGGTAGGAAAGTCTGCCATCCATCATGTGCGATGCATGAAGGATGTCGCCATGTAGTAGTATGGTGTTTCTGTAGTACTTAGAGAAGGAAGAACATATGCTCCTCAAGCATGGAGGTATCATAGTAGTGGTGGAAGACATGGTACACCATATTGGCTTCCGCCATTCATCACACATGATGGAATGGGATGGCTGGGGTTGTTTTATCAGCTCCGCAAGAAGTCTCCGAAAATTTTCCCCTTGCTGTTCGATTTGAAATGGCATTTTCATTTCATGTAGTCCAACAACGTAACTTTCCACCTTCTATTGTTAACATATAAAAAAAAGAAAAAAAAAAAAAAAAGGAAAACAACTCGTGTTTGAACGTGGTATCATGTTGACTATAAATAAAGGGAAACGTTTCTATACTCTCCCTATATCATAGAAGTTACATATTTCCCACCCAACCAGCCGTTCAATGTAGATCAAGTGAACCACTGACCGTTTGATCTAGATTCGATGCTCAAGAGTATTTTATTTTTAGTTTTATTTTTACAAGTTGTATAAAAATGAAATTTGGTATGTGCCATCCTCTCGATGGGTGTATCTAAAAAGCTATTTGAAATAATTTTTGGATAAAATAAAATGACCAAAATATTTTACAAAGCTTTTAAGGATATTTTGGTCATTGTATTTTATTGAAAATAATTTGTAGAAAAATTTAAAAATAAGATAATGTAGAGATGTGACATTGTGGTTGGGGTTATTTGAGCCGTCTATTGAGAAATGGACGGTTGAATAGGGGGAAGTATTATGCGATCGAGAAGCATCGAAAGCTTGCCCGTAAATAAAATGTGTACAAAGACGAAAATCTTTTGAATTTATTTTATTACTCACGATGAGATTTTGAGATGGGAAAACTTTTTCCCAACCAGGCAGTGTTATGGTAAATATAGGGCACGTTATTCGCATACGGCATTCAAATTCAAAGATGGAAACACGAAAAAGGCTAACGAGCTCACACCAGATGAGTTGCATGGTGTATATGATGGTGTAATACATCTCCACCATCTCTTTTGAAAATTAGATCCCGGCGATGAATCATTCCTTCACGGCTACACTCGCAGAATTGGGGGAGATCAGCGGGTAGACTTTCCTTTTTGTGGTAAATTTTATTTATTTATTTGAGGTATAAGTTTTATTTTAAATCATCTCATTTAATATTAGCATTAATGTTTCAAAAAACATTGGGCGGTGCCTAAGTAGTCGGGGGCATTGCAGTGGACGGCCACCTCTGCCCAAATGTTAGGTCCAATTTGTATATAAAAATGTATATTGAGGCATTTTTAATACATTTTTTATGTTCAATCAATCCAAATTCTAAAGACAATCAAAGTATTTGAGATTTGGACAATTAATACATTAAAAAAATTTATCATCATCATAATCTTTTCTCGACTAATTGGGGTCGGTTTAACACATTAAAAAAAAAAAATGATCCAACATTCAAATTCAACACTTAACCACCACTAGACTAGACAATTAGTGCTGAGTAGAGTATTGACACAATAACAAGGAAAATTTAATAATGATATAGTCGCAGACACATAAGCCACAATTCACGAATTATAAGCTAATTAATGCACACCCGATGGTCCAAAGCCCAACCCAAACACCATATAGAATACTTCTTATTAATTCGTACACATAATGATATGACACGTGGTCCATAGTCTATGCACTCCATAAAATTACCATGATTACACTCCATAAAATTACCATGATTACCATTCCAGTCTACATTCTATACTCCATTGTCCATACAGATAAAAGAAGGCGAAGAAAAGAAGGAAAAGAAATATACTCTTGAAGACTCGAAGAGTGTATGAATGTTTCTCAATCTCAAACACTTTTTAAAAACCTTCTCATAAGCTTCAAGAATCTAGAAAATCAATTCAAATTAAAAGGAAGATGTTTTGATCAATTTTTCAAAACTTTTAATTAACTGATCAAATCTAAAATGAATACAAAAAATGTGATTTTTCTTGTTTTCTTTTGCACTCTAATATGTAAAAAAAAAAGGATTTACATTACATAGAAGCTGACCCCCCTTTGCCCCCTTTTTAGGGGTGGAAAAGTACAAAAATGCCTCTCCCTAAGGGGCATTTTCGCCCTTGGGCGTCTCCCCAATACTAGGTGCCTAAGCACACAATGCTCAGGAGGGCACCCTAAGCATGGTGATGTGCCCAAGCCCCCATGGCCTACTTAGGCTGCCATCTAGGTGAGGGCCTGTTTTTTTGGAACATTGAATAGCGTTTGGTTTGTATAAGGCAAAGGCTCTAAACAATCAAAGTAAAGCACATCTTCAAATAGTATCGAAAAATATGATCTCAGTGCTAGAAATCTTTGTGATAGCCTTAAATATATTTTCATCTCTAATTATATAATTCAAAGTTTAAAAAATAGTGCAGATCAAGCAGATCTATAAAAACTTGAAAATCTTGAAAGTTGACAGTAAAAAAAATGCATTATAAGACAAAACTTGAAATCCATTTTTTTCGCATGCTTGATGTCGAGATGATCAATTTGAGGATATTTAGGCATCAAGATAATATTTTCTAGTGAAATTTTTTAGATAGGCTCTAATTTTTATATAAACTTTTTCTTTAAAAAAATAGTTTAAATATTTTATGTTTTCATGGGAGTATACTGTCCATTTACTCCCTTGGGCAATCTTATTCTAAGGACTAATTATAGGATGCCAAATTTTAGGAATATAACCTCTTCAACCCATATATTAATATCAATAATATAATTTCCTAATTGCATCTCTATGCACTAAAAAAAAAGGTTTGAATATCACACAACGACCATCCAATTTTTTGAGGGTGAGATTTAAGTATTCGAAAACCACAAATTTAAATCTTTTTGTTTTGAGAATAATGCTCTAATGATTCTTAGGTGATTCCTAAATTTTCAGATTGAAAATTTTTTCCCATGTAGGCTTATGGCCAAGAGAGTATATGTATAATAATGTACTTAGGAACAATTGTTTCATGCGGGCTGGACCTCATTTGTACAATGTACGGTCCGGAGGTATAAAGTATCCACCTTGGACGCAAATTGGTGGTTCATCTAAAAACAATTGTAACTAACAGTCCAAATGTTTTTTTAATATAAATATTATTTATAGTATTCAATTTTTTTTTTTATTCATGATCTCCACATTAAATATTATATATTCTCTAAAAATTAGGATCAAATTATATTTAAAAAATATATTTATTGCCAAGCCCGCATTTCTACATGTACGGGCTTGGCCGCATGCTAACTGTGTCCATATATTTATGTGGGAGCATATTATACGTGCCGAAAAATATATTAAAAATGACCAATCCATTCTTATTAATATTGAAAAACTTGAACAAGCAAGATAGATTGCAAAAAAATATAATGAAACTAGATGGGTGTGGTTTGTATAAACTCTAAACAATCAAATTAGAGCCCACCTTCAAATAGTATCGAGAGATATGGTTTTAGTACTACAAATTTTTGTTTTAGCTATATCTTTAATTATAAAATTTAAAACTTAAAAAATAGTGTAGATCGAACAAATTTATGAAAACTTGAAAATTTTAAAAATTAATAGTAAAATGTATTATTTTCAAAACTTAAAATTTATTTATTTATTTTTCTCATGTTCACGTATCTTGATGTCACTTGATGTCAAGATGATCATATTTAGGCATCAAAACAACGTTTCTAATAAAATTTTTGATGTACGCTCTAATTTGATTGTTTAGAGCCTCGGCTCTATATAAACTTTTCCATTCTTGGAAGGGAGGGGCGAAAGAGTTTTTGAGTTTGGGCACAGGAAAAGCTTTGAGAGTAAGACGGAAGGATTCCGTCAGTTACAGTGAGAGAGATGGAGATGGAGGTAGAGGAGGAGGGGATTCCGTCATATAAGAGATTGGGCATCCGCAATACGATACAGACCAACTTTGGAGACGACTACGTCTTCCAAATAGCCTCCTGGTACCCTGTCCCTCTCTCTTTCTCTTTCCACTGCATAATTTTCTATCGCTACTCTCCATATTTCTCATCGGAATTTCACCAATCAATACTAAATACTGAAAAATCGGAAAGGTTTTTGAGACTAAACCATTATTTACTTGCCCTAGTTGTTCAAAGGGATGATTTTGCAGTATTTATTTTAATTTCACAGTACATATGTTATTTAATTTTGTTTATATTAATCTGGTAAGAATGCATAGTGGATTCTGGATTTTTTTTATTTTTTTTTGTATTTTATTATTTCATAGTTGCTGCTGCTCCATTAAAACCTGCTGCTCCATTAAAACCTGCGAATGAACGATGTTGTGTAACTCCCATTTTGGATATTAAGGGCGGGAGGCCGTTCAAAAGGAATTTGAATATACTTCTTCCACTGCATAATTTTTGTTGTGGTTTTATGAGAGATTTAAACCTAATAGCTGTTTAGTTTGATTGCTACAGTTGCATTCTCTGTGTATTGTCTTTAAGCTGATATATGGTAGTTCAGTAACATCTCAACTTTTTGTCTCTTATATAATAATTGCTTTGTTCATATGCTTACATTCAATTATTTTGTGCTAATTATAGCAAGGAAGGATCATCTATGGCGGTTTCTTTATCAACAAATATGATCAAACTTTACTCACCAGAAACTGGACAATATTTGGGAGAGTGTACAGGCCATTCTGGAACCATTTCTGAAATTTCCTTCTCTTATCCTTCCTCCTCTCATGTTTTATGCTCTTCCTCTGTTGATGGAACTCTCAGAGCTTGGGATACAAGGACCTTCAACCAGGTTGCCAACACACTCTCTCTCTCTCTCTCTCACTCTCTGTTGTCCATTTTGTCTGATGTCTGCTCATATGAAAAAGGTTGATATGACTGGCCTAATGATAGGTTGTGTAGTTTAGTTAAATGATAACCATGGTAGTTGCTCAAGTAGTTGCTATTTATGATTTTGGCATAGAGAGGATTGGGAATGTAAGTGGTCCATATCTGTCACAAATATGTGGGTGTTTATATTTAGTGGGAAACGCTTTCTCTCCTTCTTTCTTTCTTTTTATTTTATTTTATTTTCATTTCATTGAGCGTGCCTGTATAACTGTTACTTTTGATAACTGTATTTGGTTCTAGATTGGCTGTATTGTTGTTTTTTTAAGTGGTTTCAATTTTTGTTTTTCTTTTTATTTCCAAGAGATTCATGAATGATCTGTGGTGACTTTGATTTTTCATTAGATGATGTATTCATCGCCTTCCACCAACGATGTGTCAGTTATCAACCCTTCATAAAATATTATATTCAATGATTTGTTAATTATAAATAATTTGATTTTATTAATTTTAAAAAGTCTAATAGGAATTCAGGAACTCTGAAAATGTTCGTTATAGAGGGCAAAATCTCTTGAGACTTGATTAGTTTACTGGCCACCCAGTATTTTTAGTCTTTAAAAACCAAATGATTCGTAAAAGCCCATGACTCATTGACATGTATACAATTTTAAACTGGCCTATTTAAGGAGTCTTGATAGGTTATCTATTGCTTGACCTTGGATTGCGACATTGTGTCTATTTATGGTTCACAAGGGTGGGTGATCTTCTAACTACTTTGATGTGGACCTTTCTTTGTGAACTGATCACTCAATGGACATTCGTTGATGTTCCAGTGTGCTTCATATGTGCATGCACTTCGAGAGCTTTAGAATATCTATTTATTTATTTATTTCCTTGAAGTGTCTATTCTGTGGCTTAAGTGATGCCTTTCTATTTTCATATCTACATGTTCATTTTACAGGTTTCCTTATTAAGGAGTGGTCCTTCTCAAGAATTATTTGCCTTTAGCTTTGGGGGATCTAGTGGTAACCTTCTTGCGGCTGGATCTAATGCACAGGTGGGATCTCTCTTCTCTTGTTATTGTGTTGATTTTCTTGTTTCGTGATAGTAAAATACTCAATTGCAGTATTCATAATTTGAATTGCTTTGTGTTTATCCCTACTTCAGAGTTTTTGCCTTCTAATTTAAATACTCACGAAATATTCTGAGGCCTTTGCAAATATGAGAAATAATGCGTTCATTTGGAAAAAGTCTTTAGCTATATCAATAGATTATAATATGATAGTAGCTGAGCTAGTTTGTAGGAGAAGAAAATATTACTTTGATTTTGTTGGCTCCCTTACCTATTTGCCTGCTGCCCCCAAATACCCTAAAGGACCTTCCATTTCTTTTGATCCCTTCAACACCACTGCTAAACCATAAACAGCTTGAAGTTTCTTTGTTTCTTCAACTCTTCAATGACTCACCAAAATTCCTTACTATGGTTATTATTTAATTGGTAAGTAATGCCTTACTAAGAATTTTCCTTCAAGCGTCGCTGAATATATTTTGCGGTGTCCGTAAGACAATGTTCACTATCATTATTCTTTTATATTTAATCAAACCAGGATGATATTTGTATCAATGCATGGCTGCATAAGAGGTTATTTCAGAGTAATAAAATTGTTTGTATCATAAGGTTCCATAGTTTGAATTTTTCTCAATATGTTCTCTCAATTAATTGTATCGATTTCATTGAGCCACTTTCAGATCCTCTTTTGGGATTGGAGGATTGGAAAGCTCGTTTCATGTTTGGAGGAATCCCATATTGATGATGTCACTCAGGTTAGGGTTCTTTTTGTGCTTGTCTTAACTCTGCTGTGATGAGATTTCCTTACCTTTGCATTTCTTTAATACTAATTCCTTGTTCTAAGCAGTTGACCCGTCTTAATTAGGTTCTATTTGCCCCAAATCACCAAAATAAGCTCATATCTGCTTCCGTTGATGGATTGCTCTGTACCTTTGATACTGATGGTCAAATCGATGATGATGATAACTTGGAATCTGTAAGTATACCTTTGACCTAGATGTTTGTTAGATTAAAAAATTACTATCCGTAGATAGACACCGACTCATAATATTTTAACCTCAATGGCATACAATGTTCATAACTAAGTTGTTAGCCAATGATGTGAAACATGTTGATAAAGTATGGATTAGCAGAAGTCATACTTCCATGATGTGCAAATTTTAGTATTGGCGATACTATAAAATGGTTTTCTCCTGTTCGTCTGCAATTTTTTTGTTTGCCACATATCTTTCTTTTTTGTCACACATGTGATACTTCTGGCATTTTGGGAACTGTATCCCCCTGCTGTAGTTTTGGGCTACTTGGCTGCTTACAGATGATTGTAGCAGTTTGTCCATTTTCTTTGTAGGGGTATCAATTTCCTTCTTCAGGATGCTCCAAGAAGAAGAGAATTGCTTAAGGGAACCATGTTTGTCTTATTTTGATGATTTTCTTCCTAATTTCCTGTTACAGCCAAAACTATAATTGTAAGTCTATAAAAAAAATGTAAGTCTATTATGCTTTTCTGTTGGACCACCAGCTGTGTTGGCTAAATTCGCCAAAACGTATGACTCGTGAAAATGCTAAAATATAACAAGCCTAATACAAAAGCTGGTAAAGTTATGAAAATGGAAAGAGAAATAGCAAAACAAGATGAAACATAATAGACTTACTCCAGCAGGACCACAGGCTCTGCACCCAGAGCTAGGGCTTGAGTTAGACCAATGCACGAAACTGGCCCTCCCTTCCCACTTGAAAAGAAATTGTTTGAACCTGAAGTTGGAATGTAGATTTGAAGTTTTTGGGTTGGATAAGATAGATATAGGAAGTTTTAAGAGTTGGAAAATTAGGGCTTCCTAAGGCCTTGATCTAAGGTTCCAAGGTCTTTTTAGTGAATTAGGGATTCAGATGGCTAGGGCTAGGACTAGGACTTGGAATCTAGGTTTAGGGCCTTAAGGGTCTCTCTAGTTGAGCTGGATCTTAGATCACAGATTGGCATCAAGGTTCCTAGGGTTTGGAGACGAAGATGGTCAATATACCAAAAGAGGGTTAAGGATTTCAAGGGGTCAAAACTAGTCCAAATGGTCCTAATAGTCCCTTAAAATCAACTCAAGGTTGGTTATTTTTACCTAAGAGTGTGAGTGACTTTCCTTCCCAAAATGACGGCTCAATCTAGGCCTTTCATCTGACTGTGACGCATATAGTGTCACGTGTGACATAATTCGCATCCCATCCGATGCGTGTCTTCGCCAAAACTAATCCAAAAGGTTCTAAAAGTTCCTTGAAATTGACTCGGGGAAGGCGGGGTTACTTCTACCTAGGAGTATGTGCAACTGCCCTCTTAAAGGTGATGGCTCAATCTGGGCCTTTCATCTGGCCATGATGTGTATAGTGTCATGTGTGACATAATTCGTGCCTCTTCTGACATTGTATCTTGGTGTGGTGAGATGGTGTGTCCACTCGGTTTTCTTTTCGTAAGTTAGTTCTTTTTGAGGCGGTTGTATACAAGTGCATTCAAGGGGGTTTCAAGTGTTTATGCCCACTTAATTTCTTTTGGTTTTCTTTAGTTTTTATTTTTTTATTTTTTGAAGGGGGAATTAACTTCTTTAGTTTTTATTTTCAAAATTTGGATTTTAAAGTTGAGGTTATTAAGTGAGATATTAATTATGTTGCGAGCTTTCTAATTTGGAACTAGGGCAAATCAAGGAGGTCTATGAAGTGGGTTTTGCCAAATAAGGCAAGTTATTAAGAAGGCAAATGAGGAAAGTTTCTAAAATGGGTATTTTTTGGAATTCTGGAACTTATTGAAATTTTCATTTTTAGGGTTTATTTTCATGTTTGAAATAGGCAAGAAGGCTTCTAGAACCCTGTGAGAGTTATGGAGCACATGGGGACTGGACTAGATGGTATTGAATGATTTTGTTTGTTATGGTGCATAGATGGTCTTGGGTGGGAGTGAGGTATTTTTGATTAATTTTAGGGACTGATTCTGTGTTTCTGGAATTTTGGTGCCTTCGGGTAGGGAATCCAAGAAGTTTAATCAACTAGAGAACATGGTATCCATAGTTGTTCCTCTGTGGTGCTCATGCTGTACATTTTGGGCAGAAAGCAATTTGAAGTCTTATCAGATGGTCAGAGGGCGGTGACACCTCAGACATCAACTGCCATCCTATTTTCAGGACGCTTGGACCCATTTGTTTGGGGTACTTTGGATGTACAACATTGAATGACATCACTTGTCCTGCATTAAGGTTTTGCAATGTCATCAATTTTAGGACCTTGAAACTGAATTGAGAAGGAACGAGTTGGAAATGGATTGAGTTGAATAGAATGGAAGCAATTAATTGAACAGCTTGGTGTCCCTGTTCTTAAGGTTCCTTTAAGGATCAGGGTCTTGGCAGGTTTGCTTGAATAACTTTGTCTTCAAGGTCAAGCAGCTGTTACTGTCTTCAGGACACTTGGACCCATCGGTTTGTGGTACTTTGGCTTGTTTGTAGAATGCACACCATTGAATGACATCATTTGTCCTGCATTAAGGTTTTGTCATGTCATCGGTTTTAAGATATTGAAGTTGAATTGAAAAGGAATGAGTTGGAAATAGATTGAGTTGAATAGAATGGAAGTAATTAATTGAACAGCTAGGTGTCCTTGTTCTTAAGGTTTCTTTATAAAATAGTTCATCTCTTGCTAATCCAGCTCCTTCATTTTCGAATTCACTTTGTAGAAAACATTGATGAGGGAGGATCTGTGAAATAAATTTGAAAATATGAACTTACGCTGCGTTATGATTTAAAAGAACATTGAAGTTTTTGAAATCAGACAAAGCAGTAAGTTTACCACTACACTTGAAATTGACTCAAAATGGAACTTGAAATTGAAAATGAAAATGGGAACTTGAATGGATCATCATCATCATCAGAGCCTTTTACTTTATCAACTATTTGGGTTCGGCTACATGAATTATGGTCTGCCATTTTACTTTATCAAGGGCCATACCCTTGGTGTGGTTATAAGTCCCCATATCTTTTCTCACTACGTCCAACCATGTCCTTTTGGGCTTACCCTTAGCCCTTTTTGAGTCTTCCACAGGAACCAACTCGCACTTCCTAATAGGTAGGTGCTATACTGGGTCTGCGTTGCATATGACCAGCCTACCTAAGTCTACTTTTTCTCATCTTATTGCCTATTGGAGCCATTCCTAAGTTGTCCCGAATGTATTCATTTTTTTTTCTGTCCCTTATTGTCTTGCCACTCATCTATCTTAACATCCTCATCTTAGCTACACTTATCCTATTGGAACTTGAATAGATGAGGAAGAAAATTTCGAAAAATTCTGAAAATTGAAAATAAAATAGCTGTTCTGCAATATTGAGAATGTTTCTCGAATTTTGAGCAAACTTTTACTTGCCAGTTTTGCATTGCATGGTTTTGGAAAATGGAATTTTGACCCTTGTGGGCAAATTCTAGGCCATTACACCATATCATTATACTTCACCTTTACTACTTCTTTTTGCAGCGATTTGTTGGTCCAGTGACCATTGGAGCAGTTTTTCGGATTGTTTTGTGCTTTAAATAGGCTAGTTCTCAGTTGGGACTTGGGAGACCATCCCTCCTTTTTTTTTGACTAAAATGCGCTTTGCTTATTTTTTGCTTCCGTGGTTTTTAACATTAGTATATGGCTTCTAATGGTAACCAAGGTTCATCTTCTAAAGGGGGGTATGTCACGCCTCCCTCATTTGGTATGGTGAGCCCCTTTCCTTAGAGCAACCCGAGCTACATTACCCATTCCATCTTGTCCAGGGTCCTCACAAAGTCCAAGCTTCCCTTTGATTCCCCCATGCTTTAGGGAATGATTTGCTATAGCCTCTAGTTTGGCTGAACCGGTGATTGAAAAATCGCCAATCATAATTGGGAATGGCCAATCTGGATCGGGAATTCCGATGGATGTGCCGATTCTTGCTTGGAATTGGTGATTCAGTCACTTCATAAGAATATAATATATACTTTTTTATAATGTAAGGCTGAAACAACCTAGTTGATAGATTGTATGCCTATTCAGATGTGGTTGGACGTTTGGATCTTCACGGTGTCCTTTCATTTTTAACGTATTTCCAACTTTTTTATTAACAAAAATAAACACAGTGGGAGGATTTGAACCTCCAACTTTGCATATGAACCAAAACCTCTAACCACCTCACTAGTTCCAGGTAAATGCCATAAAATATATATGTTATATGCTGCACAATCATTTTTTCCTCTCTTTTTATTTAGCTAGGTTGCCGATACAGATCGCCAATTTAGCTAATTCAGATTGGGATTGGTGGGTAGATTATTTATCCCACCAATTCGTTTTTTATAACTTTGTTTGTAAGCTTGACTTTGATTGGGCAAATGATAGCAATGTGCTCATATGCCCAAACCTACAGAACAAAATGCCTCCCATAAGGGTCTTTTCATAAACAAGATGCTAAGGAGAACAAGGACAATCGTTAACCAGGCATGTGCATTTTACCTGAGGAAAAGCATGCACCCTTGAATATACCGGTGCCCCTCACCACTCGATTGTAGAGACCTCTGAAGATTCCATTGAGGAGCAATGACGCAATCGTGATGTTATGTCCTTGCCAAAAAAAGAAGGCGAGAGGGATAAGGGAAGATGCAACCATCTTCCCCATGGTGGGGAACAACACCAACCCGAGCAAAGCCAAGAAAAAAAGTTTGAACTTGCTCGTTGGGGTCATCCTACCCCTGCCCGTAACAAAACTTCCCAAAACCGACCCATTCAAGCCTACTACTGAAGGAATTCTTTAGAATCCTCCTACCTGCAGGGCGTGGTCGTTGATAGAAGTGGGGGTAAGGAGTGCTTGAGAGTTGGAGGCCCAAATTTTGGGCTACTTCTTTAAAGTAGGAGTTGCTTTGCTCGTAGAAAGAAGGTACTGGTCAAGTGGTTAAATGATTTAACAAGGGCTTACGTCAAATTAGTATTAATATTAACAT